GTGTTATACTTTTCTCTACTAGATTTAAGAGCTTATTATTAAATATTTGGTCCTCATGCAGGTACTTATAGACTGTAATCAAGTCATGCCTTAACCCTTCTCTTTGTTAAACTCCAGGAGCTCAGTCTGTTTAGTTTATCACCATAAGACATCTTTTTCTAATCCTTTAATCCAGGAGTCGTCAACCTTTCAGCATTGGTGTGCCGAGTCTTCATTTATACACTCTAATTTAAGGCTTGGCGTGCCGGTAATACATTTTAACATTTTTTAGAAGGTCTCTCTATAAGTTTATAATATATAACCAAACTACTGTTATATGTAAAGTAAACAAGGTTTTCAAAATGTTTCAGAAGCTTTATTTAAAATTAAATTAAAATGCAGATCTTATCAGTTTAGTGTGATCCGTGCCCTTGCTTTTCTTTGCTGAGTTTTCCAATATCTGGCACATAAATGGATACTTTAAGCTGCGCACAGGCTTCTGAGTGATCACTTGTTAACCGGCTCCGAGAGGGACAGAGGACAGATTTCATGTGTGAAAATACCTGTTCACACAGGTATGTGGATCCAAATGCTGAAAGCATTGCAAACGTAATTTTCTTCAAACAGTTAAATTTCACTGGCAGGGACGTCCAGCAGGTCAGAATAGAGGCTCCATGATCTCTCTCGGTAGCTTCATGTGCGCTCCACAGATCCACAAACTTTGATGTCCACAATTCTGAGCTTTTTAACTGAATGAGCTGCATTTCGAAATCTTCAACACCCATCCACTGAAATACAGACAAATCCAAGTTGCTTTCATTGAACTTTTCAGGTTTAATAAGGAAAGAAAGCATTGGGCCAAATCGCTGGAAATCTTGAAATCTGTCAGAAAATTCTGATTTCAGTTCTTACATATACATTCCAATCTCATCGACACTGACAGTGCAACGTGTCGATAGCTCTTTTATGAGTTGGAAGTAGTGGAAAGTAGAAGTTTGAATATCCCAGGAAAAAACTGCTAGTTTCACAACAAATGCTTTCCTGGACCTTTATGAAGCCTGAACAGTTTGCCCTGGAGACACAGGTTGAGTTCGTTTAGGTGAGCGGTGATATCAGTTAGAAACGTGAGCTTACACAGCCATTTGTCATCATAATGTTCAGGGTAGTTTTGTTCTTTTTCCGACAAAAAGGCCTTGATTGCATCAAAACAATTTACAAAGCGCACCAAAACCTTGCCATGACTTAGCCACTGAATGTTGCTGTGAAGTGGGATGTCGTTATAAGCACTGTCCATCTCTTCTAGCAGTGCTTGAAATTGTCTGTGAGTCAAAGAAGATCGAGCAACAAGGAAATTCACAATTCGCACCACTGTATTCATCACATTATTAAGCTCTGAATTAGAAATTTTAGCACACAGGTTTTCTTGATGGATGAGACAGTAAAATTTGACTGTTGGATGGGCAATTTGATCTTGTAGTAACTTTACCAGTCCCTTCTGTTTTCCGACCATGGCAGGAGCACCATCTGTTGTCACACAAAATATTTTTCTGGTGTCAACTCCTCATTCTTCAAAATGGTTTACAAAACTTACCAGTATATCTTCCCCCTTTGTTGTGCTATGCAGGGGTTTTAGGCAACAAAGTTCCTCTCGGATTTAATCGGAAGCACAGTATCTTGCAACAACTGCCAAACGTGGAACATCGTTTATATCCACGCTCTCATCAACTGCAACACTAAACACTACTGTGTTTTTCAATGCAGTTGTCTGCTTTTCCTTAATGTTTTCTGCCATTTCACTTATGCGTCTCTCAACTGTTCTGGCAGAGATGGGCAGTTCTTTTATTCTAGATACAATCATATCTTTATTTGGCAAATCATTGAACAAAATCTCCGAACTGCTGAGAAAAACTTTTTATATATTTCCCCATCTGTAAATGGCTTTCCGTTTTTTGCAATGCACTGTGCAATCTTGTAACTTCCTTCTGTAGCTTGATTTTTACTTACACTTAACCTTTTAAAAACACTGCTTTGCTTCTCATAGGCTGCTACTGCCTTTTTGATTGATTCAGTCTTGTCTGCTTCGTCAAGAAAGGTTTTTTCGTGCTTCGTTTCAAAATGTCATTGAACACTCGATGTGCGACAAACAACACTTCCATAACAGAAAGCACAAATAGCACGGTCCTTCTTTTCAATAAATCCAAATGCGTCTGTCCAAGCAGGCTGAAATGATCGGACATCTAGCTTCACTTTCTTAAGAGCTGCCATTTTGTCAAATGTTCCCTTCAACTCTCAGTGGTGGAAAAAAATGGCAATAGAAGGCAGGCACAAGGGCAAACGCAGTGTGGTCTGATATAAGCAATTTTAAGATGGGGGTGCTGAGCTGCACCCCCTCTTGCCTTGTGTGCAACCCTCACTGTCCCAGGCTGGGGACAGTGGGCCACAGTGGGGAGGCTGCAGAGCACTGATCCAAGGCCAGGAGCAGAGCCCAGGGTGGCCTGCTGGGACTCCAGGCCAGAAAGCAGGCTGAGCAAGGCTGGAGATCCTGACCTGGCTGGCAGGAGGTCAGCGTCTGGAACCCCAGATCGGCAGCTGAGGTGAGTGGAGCTTGCGGCTGGTAGGGCTGAGCAGGGCTGGAGGCCTGGACCCTGTCTGGCAGGGGGCCTGCGCAAAGTGAGTGGGGCTGTGGCAGGGGGGACCCCAGCTGGCAAGGGGCCAGCAGCCAAAACCCCCCCAGAGCAGCTACTAAGCAGCTCAGCCTGCCTGCCCCTCTGGGGTTCCGGCTGCTGGCTCCTGCCAGCCAGGGTCTCAGCCTGCTGCCAGCTGGGGTTCCTTCACCCAGGCTAGCAGCGAGTGCTGAGTGGGGCTGCGGTGGGGGGGGACCCCAGCTGGCAAGGGGCCAGCAGAGGGAACCCCAGACCGGCGGCGGGCTGAGCGGCTCAGCCTGTCCCCGCTCTGGGGTTTCAGCCGCCGGCTCCTGCCAGCTGGGGTCTCAGCCAGCTGCCGGCCTGGGGTTCCTTCCCCCAGGCCAGCAGCGGGTTCTGAGTGGGACCGGCGGTGGGACCCTGGCTGGCAGGAGCCGGCGGCGGAAAGCCCCAGAGTGGCGGCGGGCTGAGCGTGCCGTAGGTTGCCAACCCCTGCTTTAATCATTCTATGGCTCTTCTCTGAACCCTCTCCGATTTATCAACATTCTTCTTGAACTGTGGACACAAGAACTGGATACAGTATTCCAGCAATAGTTGCACTAGTGCCAAATACAGAGGTAAAATGACCTCTCTACTCCTACTCAAGATTTCTCTGTTTTTGCATCCCAGGATTGCATTAGGCCTTTCGGCCACAGTGTTGCACTGGGAGCTCGTGTTCGGCTGATTATCCACCATGATCCCAAAATCTTTTTCAGAATCAGTGTTTCTCAGGGTAGAGTCCCTCATCCTGTAAGTATGGCCTATAGTCTTTGTTCCTAGATGTATACGTTTACATTTAGCTGCATTAAAACTCATAATTTGCTTGCACCTAGTTTAGCAAACGATCCAGATTGCTCTGTATCTGTGATCTGTCCTCTTAATTATTTACCACTCCCCATTTTTTTGCATCATCTGCAAACTTCATCAGTAATAATTTTATGTTTTCTTCTAGATTGTTAATAAAAATGTTAAATAGCATAGGATCAAGACTTGATCCCTGCAGATTCCCACTAGAAACACACCCTTCTTAAGAACACTCATTTATAGTGTTCCTTTTATGGGGGCTCAGCCTTGCCCTTAATTAACATCAGTTAGATTTTTAGGGAAGATTTTTCAACTCTCTAGGCTCAAATGCCATCAGTACACATAATGCCCAGCTCTGTGTTCTCCTTTTCACCCCAGCTGGACTGTTGTTTTGAAATTTCCTGGATGTAAAATGGCTGGCTTTAACTACCCCTAGGCAAGATCATGTGATGGATTTGGAAAATCTTGACAAAATCTATTCTATTTAGGCTGAAAATATGTGAGAGAGTTTCCAGTGGCTTCATATGTACTTTGATTTCCTAAAGGCTATTATACCTTGGTCTAATTTCAGTTGGGTTTAGTATGTGGGTGGTGGTGGTAGTGGCCTGTGATATACAGGAGGTCAGACCGCAAAGCACCTAACAAGTAACAGATAGCAAATAAACCTTTAGTTAGTATCAAAAGGTCACATATTTTACCCTTGATCTTTGTGCTAACCTTCCAATGTCATCAAAGGGCATTTAACACCCCGTTGTAGGTGTTAAAATGTGATTTGCCAAGAGAGAAGATGTTTAAACCCTCTTTTGCATTATTTACCAAGATCAGCTGAAAGTTGTTTGAAAACTGTTTTTGTTTTTTTCCATTCTTGTTGATGGCATTAGATCTTTAGATTTCTTTCTCTGTGTAAGAGGACCCTCTGAAGGGCTAGTCAACTTGCTGGCTTGTGACATCAGATACTATGATAATTACACCTGAGCAAGGGAAGGGAGTTAATCAAACTTTTAAAAGTTGTTTGTTTGCTGACTACACCTCTACCTCGATATAACGCTGTCCTCGGGAGCCAAAAAATCTTACCGCGTTATAGGTGAAACCGCGTTATATCGAACTTGCTTTGATCCACCAAAGTGCGCAGCCCTGCCCCCCCCCCGGAGCACTGCTTTACCGCGTTATATCCGAATTCATGTTATATTGGGTCGCGTTATATCGGGGTAGAGGTGTATCTATTTAATTCATATTTCTGCCAGATACTTGGGAAATAAGTTCTCTTTGTGAAAGTTTCAGCACCCCTTCATCTTCAGTTGAAGGATGAGGACACTTCTGGTCCTGTTTCTCAGACTATCTTGGAGCAAAAACAGAGAAGTCAAGGCTGGATGTTTCTAATATGAAAAAGGAGGGAGAAAGGGCTTTTGTTGTTGTTTTTAAAGAGAACACTTTTGGGCCTTCCTAGTACATCCCTTAGAAAAAGGCACAAACACACATTTCTTTTTGAAGGTCACTGTTAAGCAATTCGAAATTCTTTTTTTCCATTTGCTTCAGGTAAGCCAAGGAGCAGATACGCTGTGAATAGCACTAATGACAACACAGAAGACCAAGATGGAGACTCCAGGTAAGGAAATTTCCCCTCAACCAAAAGTTTTAAAATAAAGGAGGAGAATGGCCCATTCTCCTTTCTTGCACACTAGTTGAGTAGGCAAATCCTCTTGTACTGTATGAAAGGAGATCTGCAAAGTAAAACTCAGAACCGAATTAATCTCAGACAGATGTGCTGGATGCACCTACTAATCAGGCACTTCTCGTGAGAGTCAGAGTGCTGCTGAAGGTGCTGGTTTTCGGGCAAGATGTAAATCAGACATTCTAACCTCTTCTGGTCATTAAAGAGCCCATGCCACTCTTTGAAAATAGGAGTGTTAATCCAGTGGCCTTGGTCAGATTTCAGTTCTACCAACCTGCATCTCCAGATGGGAGTTACAGTTGGATGCAGTGTTCTTCACTTGCTGCCTTAACTCTCATGTAGAATTGTGCGCAAATTAACTGGTGTGTTTCCCCAGAGGTAGCTGCAATTTTTTGTTGGATGAAGTGATGTCTCATAAGGATACTGAAATTTAAACAATGTTTTTGGGATCCTTGGATGAAAAATGCTCTGGAGGTGCTGAGTGTCCCTGTGTATTATTCCGTTTAAATTGATCTTTTAAACATTCTTCTTACTTCATAGAGTCTCCTGCTTTGTTCTGGTTTGTCCATACCACAAAATTTATCACTCTGGGCTGTCGCAGATGTTGGCAAAGTCAGCAGGTGTCCTGAGCTCACCCTTAGCTAAGTTGGTGTTCTCTGGGGCATGTTTTTTAAATCTTACGAAATAGTTAAAGGACGGGTTCTGTCACCCTTACTCCTGCTGAGAAGAGTGTTATTTGAAATCAGTTAAACTAATTACAGTAAAAGATACTACTTAACGTGAGAGAAGTTGGCAAAATTGGATCTCAAAAGGGGAAATTTATGTCCCGATCCTGCAAAGATTTAAGCACATGCTTACTTTTACTACCACGAGTAGTCCCATTGAAATCAGTGTAACAGCTCATGGTAATGAAGTTAAGTAAGTACATAAGTCTTGGTGGCATCAGTGCTTTAGTTTTCTACAGATGAGAAAAACACAACTTGCTTGGGACTTACAATAAATCGGTGTGTTGTCTTTTTTGGTATCTTTAAAAAGTGACAGAGTCCTGTGGCACCTTATAGACTAACAGACATATTGAAGCAGAGGCTTTCGTGGGAGCACTTATTGGCGCACGAAAGCTTATGCTCCAATACGTCTGTTAGTCTATAAGGTGCCACAGGACTCTTTGTTGTTTTTTTACAGATCCAGACTAACACAACTACCCCTCTGATATTTGGTATCTTTGGTGTCGTAGAACACTGCAATCTGGGATGTCCTCAGTGAATCCCGTACAAGGCAGCAGACTCCACGGGAACTAAAAACAACTTTTAAAAACTAGTATTTAGTTCTGTGCTAAACCCTGCGCACAGCCAAATTAGTGGAGCCATTCAGTATGTGTTTCTTTGGTTAACTCAAGTTGCTTTTGCAAGTCACTGTTAAAAAGTTTGGCCCTAGTATTTTGTAAACTATACTTGTAAAGCAAGGGAGTGCTGTGCTGCTTTTGGCATTTCAAAAAATTCTCAGAATGCCAGGAAAAGAGGGAAGCTATTGGTTCCTACAGATAATGACCAGCATGAGACCCAAAAACAAAGCTCAGAGAACTTGTAATGCCCTTGAAGAGCTGAGTTACCAAAATCTCCTAAATCCCAGTTTTCATTGTATTGTGACCTTGTACATTATTGGTCATTGAAAGGAAAAACACATACTTAAAGATTCAAACAATTGGAGTTACTGGAATATTGCGTTCAATTCTGGAATCCACTTCAAATGGATGTTGAAAAATTGGAGAATGTTCAGAAAAGAGCCACCAGAATGATGTGAAGTCTGGAAAACATGCCTTTCAAATACTTATAAGCTACATACATTGAGCTCCTTTGGTCATGGTGTAGAAGTACCTACATATGGAGAAGATTTTGGATAGTAGAGGTTCTTTAATCTAGCAGACCTGATGAAAGTGCTCTTTGTGTGCTTATGCATCTGCATTCAAATGTGCAGAGGTGGCTTCATTTTAAACCTGCTAGCTGTGACAAAATCCTTTTCTGAAATTACACTTGAGTCTAATTCTTCCTTTGCAAAAGTCCTTCTCTGGCTCCCAGAATAATCAGTATTTTTCACATTAATCACATTTTTCACAACTTCCTCTCACATGCTAATGGAAGGAAAGAGATAAGCTCTTGTCTACAGCTGAAGAACTGATACAACGGCTAGACTGATCCCCATCTTCAGAAATGATAGCTCATAGCAACAAGTGACTTCTTCCATCAAATTACTGCACGTGCTGTTAATGTACATGTTATCAAATTGTTTCCTGAAATGCACTAACTTTGAAGAAAGTAAATATAAAGTCATACAAATGCCTTCTGTTTTGCATTTTTGTCTTGAAATATGATGGCCGGACAGCTCCAGTTTTCAGATCTGTATCTTTCAATAGATTGTGACTCTGATTCTTCTTCTCTTTCCCCTTATGCGATCATCTGGGGTCAAGTCGTTGAGCAAGCATGCACTATCTTTGGCTGTCCATTGCAGCACTAAGATCCACCTGCTTAGGTCCCTAATCTTTGATGCGATCCATCCATCACTTCCTCAGCTTTCCACGGGGTTTGTTTACTACTATGCTGTCATCCCATTCGAACTTCGTCTGTTCCTCTTCATTCATCCTCTGCATGTGTCTGAACCAGGGAAGTCACGCTTCCTGGATTTTGTCAGCTATGTTAGACTTTGACTGCCATCCTAATGCTTTCATTTTGAAATCTGTCACTTTGTGTAACTCCTTTTATAGTGCAAAGACATCTTACCTTCAACAGCTGTAGGCATTGAATCTGCTGCCTCTTCACCACCCATGTTTCTGCACCATACAGCATTACTGGGTGCACTATTGTTCTATAAAGTAGGGCTTTCAGTCTCCGAGGCATATGCTTGTTGTGCACAACACTTGTGTCTCAACAAACATTCAAGCTCACTCTTGAGGTACTTGAACTGGTCAATTTGTTTAGTCGTACTTCATTAATCTCTATATCCAGTTTCCCTGTGGCATCTCTACTGACCCACATGACCCTAATCTTACTCATGTTCATTTTTGTCCGATGCCTGCTTAGCTTGTCATACCACTGGTTTACTATTTTCCCTAAGTCACCTTTTAAGGATGCCCTTACTACTACATCATCTGCATATAGCAGCTTTTCATCTTTTCCCGTTGTCACCAGTTTTTGAACGGATAGTGTGAACAGCTCAGATTGAACAGACACAATGGAATAGACTACTGCTTTTCCTCAGTTAATTCTGTTCTTTTCAAAGTATATACTTTACATTTTCCTTTAAATGAAAAACCAGTGTGATACCTTTAATTGCACTCCAGTGAACATAACTCAGTTATAATCAAGCCCTTGAGCTGGGGAAAAAAATCAAATCTGCATTTAGCAGGAAACCTTTTAATTGGAGCATGAGACAAGTTGCCAATAGTTTATAGATCGGTACATAATACAATTGCTCCTAAAGTGGAAAGAGGATAGTATTTACTTCATTAGGTTTTAGCAGTAGCAATCCCCACTGTTAGTATTAGCTTTAGTAAGAGATTTTGTGAGGCTGTGAAGTAATTATGTGTTTGTGGTCACAAATTAGAATAACTTGATTTTGAAGATTAGATTTGCTTTGTAATTTTATTTACTGATGGCATTACTGCAGAGAGAGTTAAGGTGGTTTAGGTGTCTGAACTCTGTATTTCCATACCTTAACATAATTGGATTTTTAAAAAATTTAGACTTATCTCGTGAATTTCCTGGGTTTGTTAATGCTTGTTTTTGAGATAATTACAGCATTCTTGTGATGCTTTCACCCACAGTTACTGGTATATACTCTCAGCCTGAACTCTATTTTAATATAGCTTTGTCTGGGTTTTCATCTCCTTTTCAGAAGCAACTGGAGTAGCAAAAATACTTGCATTGTATTGTTAGCTTCCTGATAGAAGGCGACTATCTAGTAGGATCAGCCACCTGTAAGAACAAACTTGGCCTGACAAACATATCTCCGCTTGCTTCCTCCTAGCCTTCCACTATTCCCCTCCTACCCAAATAACCCAGTTAAAACACATCTCCTCTCCAAAATGTCTTACAAATATTAAATAATCATCACAACTGGTGGAGAATTGTATTGGCTCTTTTGCACAAATGGGAAAACTGAGGTACACAGGCCTTAAGTGACTTTCCCAAAGCCATAAGGTAAGGCTTGGTCTACACTTAAAAAGTTTTACTGTGGTTATGTCAATTAGGGAAGTGATTGTGTCTCTTCCCCGTCTCCCCCCAACATAGCTGTGATGGTAAAAGTGCTAATGTAGATGCACTTATATTGGTATAACCTATACTTAAGGCTAGTGATTTTAGGTTTTAATTGATAAAACACTCCCAGTTTATCTATATCTATATACAAATCAGTGTTTATTCAATAAATATTGCGAAAAGCCAGAAATGGTTCGCGTTGACTTCACCACTTTTCCAGTGCAGTTTGTTTATATAGGTGATGTCCCTGCTCCCTGGCTTTCATCTAAGGGCTTGTATACATGGACCAATAATGCAGACTGCAGATTGCGATTTCTAAAACGTATTGTGCATTAGTTGATCTGAGTTGACCCTTCTGATGCATACTAAAATTTCCCTAGTGTGCTTTAACATAGTGTTGTTTGAAGCAATACTGTGTTAAAGCAGACTAGGATACAAACATGCTACATGGTAAACCAGGGGTTCAACTACAAAGATCAAAGTAAAATACCGGTAAGTCATTTTTATACAGATCATAAAAATTAAAGTAGATCCTGTTTATACAGGAATTTTGGGAAGTACCCAAAAAAATCTTATTACGGTATCAGAGAGAGAGCTCTGGGGGGAAAAAACATTTTTGGGGCATCTACATAAAACTCAAATTGTTAAGAATAAACCCCCAAGAATGAAATGAATGAAAATCTGAAAAACAGGAACTCTGTTTATCCTATCTGGCATAAACTATACCGGTGTAAGCACTTTTATACCAATATAACTGTAGCAACACTAGGAAAGTTTTTGCCAGTTTAACCATGGTTAAACTGTCAAAAATTTAAGTGTAGAAAAGGCCTAAATTTCTCGCATAGTAGAATTCTGGGTACCAGACTGGGAGTCAGGAATTCCTTCCCAGCTGTTACCAAGCTGATTCAGTTGGGACAACCAGCACATTCAGGGATTGCTGTGTCAACAACCGGCTTTTGCACAAGTTGGCTCTCAAACCCTTGTAGCATTAAGCAACTACAGCAGCATGTTCCTTCGAGAGGGAAATCCTCAGCTGTCTGTTGAGCTGGGGAGTCTGATACAGATAAGGCAATGCTAGTGCTGTAGTACCAGGAAACCAGCACCCTCCCTCTCAGGTCCTCATACTCCTTTACCCTCCACCACATGGAGTACAGTCCTCTTGCCCCATACCTGCTGCTTCAGTCTTTGGTTCAATAGTGAGAGCTATAAAAACCCATGAGAATGTCTCCCCAGCTGTTGGGAGCATTCTCCCTATATCAAGGTTTTTCCAGTTGTCGGTCTCATGTATGTACCTTTTTGTTAATACACCTATTTTAACAGCTCAGAAACTCGTTAAAGTAAGACACTGCTGAAGAGTGTACTACTGAGCTGCGCTATAACAGCGCATTCTGGTGATGAGGCTATGTGGCAGGCCCTCCCCTCCTGATTGTAGGAACCAACTCCTATATGCACTCCCTTATTAGCATTTCCAGTGAGACTCTCTCACCTTCAGAAGTGCATATCTTTCCCTTCCCACTTCCTGACTGGCATCTGCTCCCCTCTGATAACTCCTCCATATACACTCTCTCTCTCTTTTCTTTTGTTAAGCACCTACCTGGTACCCCTTACAGGTGTTCTTAGGGGCCTCCCTTCAGTGAAGCACCTGGCTTTCCATCCATCCTTTTAGACACCCATCCCATGATTCCACTTCTCCCTCCTTTGGTGACACTTCTCCCATTTGTAGGGTGCCCCTGGTTTTCTTTGCTGTAAAGTGTCCGGCAGGAGACTGACTTACCTTTCCAGTAGAATGAGTTGACATTTTGATTTCAGGTACAGCTTTTAACATGCATGGTATAAGGCAGCCATGGCTTTATCTGGCCAAATTTTCAATTGCACCATCCATCTTTGGAAACATTTTTATTCTTGAGAGAGAAGCATTTCTATTTGCTCTGTCCACTGGTATCTGGGAGCCAGTGCAGGAGCATCTGCTGCCATAGTGTACAAATAGCTGCAGTTGAGAACAGAGTCAGTAAGTGCCTTCTTTTGTTCTCTGCATCAAATGGAGGGCTTCATGTCCTTTGCCACAAACCTTTTTCAGCTTACTCATCTTAAGGCTTTGATTGCTGACTGGTCCTGGGTATGAAATAAGCCAGGGATGGAACTGGCTCTGCCACTGCTGTGAATCTGGCCCGTCTCATATGGGGAGATGTGCTTATTTGGGAATAGCAGCAGTTCCATGTGCAAGACCATCCAAAGGGCCACAAATGTGCATAAAATCCTCAGTGTCCTATGTCTCATCTCTAACCTCTGAGCTACACTGCCAGTGCCTCGCAAGTTGACAAGGAGGGTTTGTGCCATATGATGCTGTGAGCAACTTTAAACAACACAGATGGGTTCTTGTAAACACCAGTAACAATCTGCTCCAGGAAACGAAGTTAAGGAATCTCTTCCTCTGAAATCAGTGTTAGTTTTTCTGCAATTTCTAGGTAAGAATATGCTAGGTAAGCATTAATTATAAAATATGCACCAGCAGTGCCCTTACCATAGGCTTGCTTTTACTCTTGCATGTAGTTCTCTACTGTACAGAAGTTTAACCCTTAATAGTCCATCTTCATTTTTAATATTGTCACTTTTGTGTATCTTGTGTTACTTTGCCTGGTTTATTCTTTTGCTGTATTTTTTGTTTTGTTTTTGTTTTGTGTTTATGCCCATGTTCCCATTTCAGAGAGCAATGTCCTCTAACTGATGAGCAATTGGTTTCAGGGTAAGAGCAAACATTCTAAACAATCATCTGTCTAGAATGGCTTTCTTTTCTCACCATCCTTTAATTGTGCTTTGTTTCTGATTTCCATTTTACACTGAACACTGAGTTAATTTGAACTCTATATTAAATCACAGTGTCCGTAAGAAATGTATTGCCAAGGTTTCTTGCTAGGTGATTTGAAAAAGTCCTGCTAACACTACAGGAAGCACAAAAACGTATCGAGTGGGTGGACCCATACTGTCCTTTCTATTGGTAAAGGAAAGTAAGTAATCCTGCAAGAATCCATGCCTGTGTCAATGAAGGTGCTGCAATGCCTCCAGAAAGCTCCATGGGAATTGGGTCTGGGGTCACGTATCACCAAACACACATTTCATCTTAGTATTAATTACCAAACCCTAAATCAGCTTCTTTCTGACTAGCAATTGATCGCTTACAAGTATGGTCCAATGAGTAAAGTTATTTAATTCCATGATAGCCTTACTGTATTAGTCACTGCAGAGTGACCAAGAAAGTGGAAATGGTACACACTGGGGAGAGGCTCCTTCTTCCAACCTGGAAGAGAATAATGTCTGGAGGCTGGAAAAGAGTCTGAAGAAGCTGGATTGAGAGGGAATAAATTCCAAGGTCTCTTCACAGACAACTGCAAGTATTCAGAGCAGGAGTGATGCAGAATAGTCTGGCATTCTCTTAGCTGCATAGCCACTATGCACAGGAACCTGAGATTGCTCCCTCACGAGCTGAAGCTGTATTTATGCAGTTGCCTTCTGCCTAGACCAAACAATAGCAGGGAAAAGCTAAGACTCTTTCTCCCTATTCATTTGAACACCTGGTATAAGTCAATCATGGTATAGAATCTCTTCTTGGGCTCAGATGGCTGTGTCTGTTTGAGGGTGTCTTCCACCCCACCAAAAGAAAATAAAAATAAAACTACTGTTGCTACCACTGGTTCAGTTCCACAGGTGATAGCAATAGTGGCAGCCAGCTAATGCTAGTGCTCCCAGCGTTAACCGCTCTATTGTCTACTGTTGATACCACTGATGGAGTTGAACTGGTGGTAGTAGTCGTGAGAGAATCTGGTTTAAAAAAATCCCAAACCCTAGTGTAGCCAAGGCCTTTGGTTTCTGTGGTTAGATCCTGCTTGTTCTGTGCCATGGTACAATAAGGGTTTACTCCCCTTTAGAAATCACAGGGCTTTACATGGTCGCACAAGTGCTGGATCTGTCATTGCCTAGGAGTGGAATCTCGTCGGCTTCAGACAAAACTTTAGGGTTCTGTCAGTTGAAATATCAATCCCCATTGACTTTAGGCATTTTTACAAACCTCAATAAAATCCCAAAAATGTTAATATAAATAGTAATTATAGAACTTTGGAGCCCTGATCCTGGATCCAGATCCAGATCCCACTGTGTTGTTCATACAAACCAGTCCAGGCTGGAATAATAAAAACTGATAAACCCCTCAGTCCACCTTCTCTGTAAAAGCCCAAGGAAATAGATTAGCTATGCAGTGTGTCGTCAGGGTTAACAAATCCAGTTTGTGTGACTAAGGGGGAGTGGGATCTAGAGTCAAAGACCCCTCATTCCCTTGAAGAGGCCCTGCTACAATACCAGACTCCTCTCTGTGGAACCAGAGGGCTGTGTATCTCAGGTGCTTCAGCTGATCACATCTGTGGTAGTCTCTCAGAGGGAGAAAGAAGTGTCTCTCAGGTAGGCAGTTACAAACCATTGAGGGCTTTGTAGTTGAAACCAGCTCCTTGACCTCCACCTGGAAGCCAACCAGAAGCCAGTGCAGATTACAGTGTATTCTGCACCAACTTTACCTTCTGAATGGCCTGGTTGTGTAGTCCCATGTTGAACATGTTGTAGCTTAATCTTGAAGTGATAAAAGCCAGTATAATGGGTCGGGGCCCCACAGTCAAGACTTTTCTCTCCAAGGACAGATAGAAAAAATTCCCACTCATCAGCACCTAATCCTTTCTGCTCCCAAATTTGCCATCCCTTGTGGCCCAGCCCACTTTAAGATTCTCCCCAGTCCAGTGTGAACCACCTAATTAACACAGACTAGTGATGCAGGAGATTTTTCACAAATGGGCACCTGGAGCTGTAACCTTGTGTTTGTTTTTAACAGAAACTGTTTTCAGAGGAGCTTGTTCTAGTCAGTTTAAGGAAACTACAGTTTTTTCCTTATTGAATTCATATGTGTTGGACATACTGGTAGATAAACTATTCATGAAATGATGGTTCAGTTGGCTTTGAGGCACCTGGATTAATCCATCTCCTTATGCCAATATCCCAGCTGCATTCAGTAGGAAACTGTCTCCTATAAGCTGCAATACTGTCTGTGATGAGCAGTTATGGGGTTTGAAAATGCAGTGCACACTTGCTGCCTCCAGAAGTGCAAGGGCCATCATGACCCTAGCACACCTAATGTCCAGCAGGGCAAGGGTACTCCGAAATCTCATAGCCAGAGCCATTGGGTCAGCATAGACCTTCAATAAAACCAAGAATATTCTCCTTACTAATAAAAAGAAATGACCAGTGTGCTAACTGAAAGCCAGTACAGCTGCCTGTGCATGGGTGAATGTGTATATATTATATGGCTGTAAATTTTTCTCTTAATTCCTTTAATAACTCACCAAAACTAGACCAGAAAGCTTTCTTAAATGAGTAGCTTCCTTGAGCACTAAGGGCTCATTTGCTGACAAGAGATAAAGGGAGTGCAGCACACACCCGTGGTCTGCCCTTTTCCTTAGGTGATACAGTGTTATCTGGGATACTTGCATTGGGAAGGGGGATGGGGGGACATGCGCGCACACACACAAGCAAATGTAAGTACAGGAACTTGTTAAACTCTCCCCAGAGGGTTAGTTTAAATTTCTTCACTTTGGTTGTAGCTGGGCTGCTTCAAAGAGGGCAGTTGAGGAAAGACTATACAGCAATAAAACAATAAAGTTTGTACAGTCTCTTAACTGAGGGGAAACATTTCCTACAATTCCAAAATGAAATCTGTTTTACTTTGGTCTGAGCTCCTCTGTCTCAGACAACATGGTAATGGAAGCGATATAAGAACCTAAATAGATTAGAATGGTGTAAGATCACCCACAGCACTGTCAGTGGAGTTGCAGAGGGGTTCCTTCTAATGGCTTTTTATGGCAGGGGTTTTCAGACGTTTTCATGATGAACAACATGCCTTTACAGTGAGATTCTCTTGTGGACACTTGCCCCCACATTCATAGACCACGTCCTCCCCACTCACAGTACCATTAGATTCCAGTGCTAACAGCAATTGTTTACATTGAGAAGTTTTATTAGGAAAGAGTGTACTGTATCGTTACTTCTTTTAATGCAATTGACTAGCTGGGATGAGGAGAGCCAGTACCATGTGACCAGCCAGCTGTCTGCAGACCACCAGTGGTCTGCTGATCTCAGAGTATCTCTCATGGCAATACATTTGAATCTGACTACTGGATTTAGAAGAGATGGGGGACACAGTGGGAAGAAGATTTTTATTAAAATCCAACAACCCCCCCCTTCCCCTCCCCCACACACTTGGGTAGTTAAAGATCCTTGTCTGCTTGAGTGAAGATTATTTTGATATCTGCCTGCTTAGTCAATTCATTAACCTGCAGCTAAATCCAGGCAATGACTAATTTGAGCGGGTTTTATCTTTTTGAAAGCAGATGACATCTAATCTTTCCCAGAGCATGTAATTAAATAAGCATGAACTTTCATTCTTTGCCTTTGATGCTTCTCATTTTATTATTCTGGTGATCTGAGAGACATAATCTTATGGAATTATTAATTTTCATAATTGGATGCATTCAAGGTGTTCCAGTTTAAATATGTAATTTAAAACACTCTTAAAGCTCACACAAATGAAATAAATCTGTATTTCAGTTTGGGGAATATTTTTAGGGTGTGGTGTTTTGGTTATCATAGTAACTTGTTTCTACTTTTGAAGATTTTCAGATGTCATCCTGGCAACAATTTTGGCTACCAAATCAGATATGTGTGGCAAAAAATTTGAGCTGAAGATTGATAATGTCCGTTTTGTTGGCCACCCTACCTTGCTGCAGCATGCCCTCGGGCAGGTACGGTAAGAGAGTTGCTGGGGCACTGGGAAACATTTTTCTCCTGAGAATTGATATGGACAGAACAGCAAAAGAGTTATGAAATTTGGAATTCAAAATGTACAGCATTGCTTTGAAACTCTGTTTTATGCCTGTGGTTTTTGAAAGCTTTTGTCCTTGCTTATTTGCTGATGTTCATGCCAAATATGTTGTGTCTACTCTGGAAATTTTTCACAAAAAACTTCCCAGTGGCTCAAACACAGGTGCAACTGAATCAGTGTTAATATTAAATAGAAACCCTAGCGACGATATGGCTCCAGCGGACCATATCTGTGTTTACCACTGTGCTAGTTAAATTGGCTTTTTGGCAGGTGTAACTAAACATAATGGTAAAAATTCTGGAAGCCACCTGAGCCTTGTCAACTCTATGGCTACTGCCAGTGCTAAGGCTGGTTCTTCAGGATATGGTTTAGAACAGGGGTTCTCAATCTTTCTTTCTGAGGGCCCCCCCAGCATGCTACAAAAACTCCATGTCCACCTGTGCTACAATAACTGTTTTTCTGCATATAAAAGCCAGGGCCAGAGTTAGGGCGTAGCAAGCAGGGGAACTGCCTGGGGCCACATACCACAGGGACCCCTGCAAAGCCATATTGCTCAGGCTTTGGCTTCAGCCCCGCGTGGCAGGGCTTTGGCTTTCTGCCATGGGCCTGAGCGAGTCTAAAGCTGGCCCTGCTTGGCGGACGCCCTGAAATCAGCTCATGGACCCCTTGTTGAGTACCACTGATTTAGAACATTTGTTTTGTTTTTGGGGTAAAGGGTGGTGAAATTTCCCAGGGTCAGCAAGGCCATATAGGCACTTATGAATTAACATCTCAACCCAGAAGTGCTTCATGCTGAAATGGAGTAGACGTTCAGCCACATGGGCCATGGAAAGGGCTTCTGCATGAGTCTGGGGAAGGATTTGCACTTTCCCTATCCCCTTTTATGATCTCACTAATAGTGCCTAAAAGTGAATTGGGCTCTGGGAATTTCCGTGATCAGCAACCGTCTGTCCATTTCTCAGTGTCTGTGTCTTAGTCATTTTGGCCTTGTTTACATTAGATTTACTGGATTAATGTGGCTTTCAAAAATTTCCTACGGTCACTAACTGGTTATTCTTCTCCAGCATTAGTAATTGTGGGGGAATTAGTGTAAAACATGCAGGCAATCTGTGGCTACTGCTTTTGGTTTAAGCACCATGTTTAATAGATTTACCCTGAGTAAGGTGGGAGACCATTGGGTAAACCTTTCAAAAGTACATAAATGGCTTGGAAGTCTAATTTCCATTTTCAAAAGTGATCTCAGCTCTCAGGAGCCTACATCTCACTGACACTGCTAGAAACTTACGAGTCAATGAGACCTTAGGTTCCCAAATGCCGATATCACATTTGAAAATGGAATGTAGGTTCTAAGCCATCTAGGTACTATTGAAAATTTTACCCACTGTGCTCAGAACACCAGCAGTCCATGCGTGCTACAGCTCCCAGCATTGCCGTTGCTGGTGGAGTTGAACCCGTATTCATAGCAGTGACACGTTTTAAACAG